TTTTTATATTTAAAATGAGATGTTTATCCTGTATTTGATTGTGTTTATCTGCAGTTAGTTACACGAATTCAAATATGAGATGAAATCGGATAGGGATGAACGAGTTTAAGAGTTTTTAAGAGTTTAAGAGTTTTAAGAGTTTTTAAGAGTTTAAGAGTTTTAAGAGTTTTTAAGAGTTTTAGCCAAATGCTTTATAATATAGTATAGATATATAGTATATATTACGCAAATAAATGATATGTGGAACACCATTCAAGTTTCGATACATGCTACAATCGGACCTAATTACACTTGTGAAAAATTGAAACAAATAAATAAATAAATAGTGGAAAAACAGATGAAAGATGAGCCAAACTAGTTAAAGATATAGTCAGATCTTACCTCTACCCTGAAGAACCCCAGTTCGTGAAAAGTGTGACAAAAAGAGTCGGATATGATAAAGTTTTGTAACAGATCGGCATTTTGGAATACGGGTTTAAAGAAATGTTCAAGATTTTGGTGGTGTGGAAGCTAAGACAAGTTTCTTTCCCTCATAAAACTTTCAATCTTGGCAACATCTTCAGGAGTATCCACACCATGAGCATCATGATCCACTTTTATCACCTGCAAACACTCACATTCATGCTTTCATCAGATTTTGAACAAATTGATAGAAGTAGCCAATCAGCAAATAGGGTTTCACTTTTTAGCCATTTTCTTACCCAAATTCACTTTTTAGCCTATCTTACGTAAGGATTGGGTAAAAAGTGTAGGTTAAAAAAATGGCTAAAAAATGAATTTGGGTTGGAAAATGGCTAAAAAGTGAAACCACGCTTTAGCTATTTATGTAAATTTCACCAAAAAACCAAAAGGGAAACAAGCAAACACCTTCATCTTGTATCCGTTTTCAAGAACTTTAAGTTGCTCCAAATCTTCTTCTAGTTGCAATGGAGTCGGTGTAAGATCCGGATAAATTTTCAGAAACTCCGAATCATAGCTCTAAAAAACCAAAACCCTGCCATTAATTCACTTCAAAAGGTACTGAATTTATGAACATTCATGAAAAAATTGTGTCTTTTTTTGTGGGTACCTGAATGCCAAGATGAAGATTATATGGGAATTTAGGGTTGGTCTTCCCTGACCTGCACCAAGAAGGAACGAACAAAGCCGCTAAATATTGGGAATAACACATTGGAAAAGAACGAGAAGATGTTTAAGACAATCGAATGCACGAACTTGTTAAAAGGTACCAGCCCTCGAGAAAAGTAGATTGCATAACCACGGTTATCAACCACACATTTCACACGATTTGGATCAAAAGCATCTTCCGGTTTCAAAGATGTGACTGCCGTGCTGAAAACTGCATCCGGGGTGGTCTGCAAACAGTACAAGTCAATATATTTTAACATAAAGATTAAACGAACCCTTCTCGATGCAAGAACTATGCTGCAAGAAGACGGTTTACTGTTCTTTCTTACTTTCAAGAATTATGTTGCAAGAATACCAATCCCTAATAAGTGGATCTAGGGTTTAAGAATTTAAATTTTTTGTGCAAAATTTGAAGAATTTGATCAGGATGATGAAGTGAGTGAGTGATACCTGAAGAGCTCTCACAATCCCATCGATTATTTCAGGCTCGATAAGAGGTTCATCTCCTTGAATATTGACAACAATGTCGTACTTTTTCCCGAGCTTTTGAAGTGCTTCACTACACCTCTCAGCACCTACAATTGATGCAAACAAATAATATTGTCTGTTTATTTTCTAATCCAGATTATTAAAACTCACTTGACAACCATATACATGATTTCGTACCATTTCTGCAGGATTCTGCAGTCATTATAACATCAGCACCAAATCCCCGACAGCACTCTGCAATCTTTTCATCATCCGTTGCCACAACTACAAAAATAGCGATGCTCAGTTTAGCTACCAAAGTCAAATATCACTCGGCTTCTCACATGGAAACTACCCAGAAATTTGTCTTTTCGTTGTCATTATAAAGGCTACGCCCGAGGACTTCTCCTCACATATCGCCAGTTCGAGTCTCCTCATGACCACCAGAGATTTTCTTGGTTGTTATCTTCAAAGACCCATAAGGGATAAGGGATTCTCCTAGTTGTTATCTTCAGGGTCCCATAGTATTACTCCAGATACGTTCAAGCTGGCCCGGACACCCACGATTAACAAAAAAAATTCTTTTTTAACATAAAATCTGGAAAGAGGAAGCGACAACGGCATCTTTTCCATTACAAATCTAATTCAAACAGGAACTACAGCATTTACCAATTGGGAGAGGATAGTTCGAAAGGCTTAAGAAGAACCTCCATAACTGCGTATCGAAGGATTCATCAACATATTATTTCATAACAAATTTGAATTATATCTAGAAGCCATGAAATTTAGGTACAAATCAAACCAAAACTTTCTTTCAAGGAACCATCACAAGCAGCTGATAATAAACCATGGAGATCTATTTTTAAGTTTAATTCTGTGGTAATTCAATGAGAATATTCATTGAACAATCAAGCATTTTATCCCCCAGAACCCGAAAATTAGAGCAAATCAAGAATTTCAAGAACCAAATTCGAAACTAAGCTCAAATACTTACCAACACAGTCCAATGTCGTTGCCAACTTTGCTCTTTCCCATGTTCTCTGTTAAAAGTAAACGGAACACCTAAATTGTGAGGTAATAATTCCATTCGGTTGCATCTACGCAATTAGTATCAACCACAATGCAGATTTGTTATGATTTTTTTTTTTGAGAATTTAGTAATAATTTAAACTTATGAGCTTAGATTCGGCATCTCGATGGTACAATTAAACCCTAAATCCTAATCCAACTAATAATTCAAGAACAAATGCTCAAAATGTGAAGACTCGCACTAGAAATTTAACAATCATACGAATTTCGGATTCAGGATTTAAAGAAATCAAACAATTTCAAGAGCTGGTGAGCAAAACGTAACCTGGATCATGGGTTTGCCAAGGATATCAACGAGGGGTTTGCCCTGGAAACGAGAAGAAGCGAACCGGGCAGGAATTATGCCGACTACTCGACTCCGAAACATGGTGACAGATCGGCGGTAATAGAAATAAGCGTGAGCACCGACGGCTAGAGCGGCGGCGGCGGCGACGCCGTGCAGAATCCATGCTTTGGTCGACATCAGAAATGATCCGGGCGAGAAGATCTAGTACAGTTGTAGTCGATCATGGCTGATCATTGCGTATATGTATGTAGATGAGTTGTTTATTTGTGGTTGCTCACCTTTCACATTGCTTTTTGCCCCAAATTAATACACCGACATCTGTAGAGGGAAAAAAGAGAATTTTTTTTTAACAATAACAAAATACTTTTGTCCGTAAATACCGCATAATTGATTATAGGGGGTGTTCATGGGTTGGGTTGATTGAGTTGAAGACATTTGAATAATTCAATCTAATGCTTGCGGTTTAAATTTTTTTAACCCAAACCAATCCGTACGGGTTGGTCGGGTTGATACTTTGATACATTAAAATATTCTTCTAACCTTGAATATGTTATTTTTCTATTCATAATTTCTCTTCATCATCAACCATTTGATACAACTTATTCATACTTCTTACGTATATCACATTCAATTAATTTTCTCAATTTACATATATATGTTCATAGTTACTGAACATATATACAAATGAGTTATATAGAGATTGAATAGATTGAAAATATGTGTATATGAAGAGCCTGCGTGATAGTGTAACTGTCTAATATATATATTAATAGAAATTTAACGATCATATTAAATTTAAGAAATAAAAAAATATCGGGTTCATTGGGTTCGGTTGGGTTCAAATAATAACAACATAATATCAACCCAATACCTACGGTTTGAAAATTTCACAACTTGATTAGACATCGGGTTGCTTCGGGTTGAGTTATTTCTCGTTATGTTGGGTTGGGTTGATCAGATTGATCGGTTTTTTGAGAACCCCTACCTGATTCCATCCATAAATCGATTTGATTCCCTATGAGTTCTAGTCTCAATAAGACTACTAATTCTTAYTGTTCATATAGTATGATATGAATATACCACATCAATTCGTTATGTATGGATGATGAGATTTCATTGATACATAATTAATTCCAATAGACTTATTGGAAGGTCCCATTCGCGTGCATCCAGTAGGAATTGAACCTACGAATTCGCCAATTATGAGTTGGGTGCTTTAACCATTCAGCCATGGATGCTTAGCGAGTCATAGTGAATGACCAGATTCCAATTCAAATGGAATCTTTCAACKAAAGCAATGAGATGCTTAAATGGAATTCTTTTAGTTCTAATAAATCAGGAGGAATTTAATGACAGAACATGAATTCAAGTTCTGGATTTTAGAATTAAAAGAGATATTGAGAGAGATCAAGAATTCTCACTATTTCTTAGATGCTTTGGGGAGTTGAAAATAAGCATAGATCCGGAGATTCCCGAATAGGTTAACTTTTCAAACTGCTGCTGAATCCATAGGCAGGCAAGAGACAACCTGACGAACTGAAACATCTTTTGGAAATGCTCTAATTCTTTAATTAATGTATTTATTCATGATTTTTTATATTTATATCTTTTGTGATTTAAGTATAATTAATTTTTTATTTATTATTTTAATATTTAAAATAGTTGTGATTTAGTTTTTTATTGTAAATATTTATTTTATTGAAATAGTTTATTTAAGAATTTTTTATAATTTTATAAAAAATTACATGTGATATCCACAATTAATCGATTTTTTTTTCTAAAAAAGAATCGCTAATTTTTGTCAATATATCATATATGTAAGTTATCTACGATATTACATAAATTATGAATTGTGTCTTGAAATACATGTGATCGTATACATTTTAAATGTGTTTTGCTACCCATCACATGCGATTTTTTTTTCCAGTACTCTTTTTTTTAATATTTAATTTGAATCATTGTTTTTCACAGTTTAGATCACGTATAATTAAAAAATCACATATTTGAAAGAAAAAAAATTGTGAATCACATATGATTTTGACGAAAACTGTAATTTTTAGAATATATATATGATTAGGAAAACATTTTGAAAAAATAATTAATTGTGATTCACGCATGATTTTAACGAAAATTGTAATTTTTAAAATATTGTTTTAAATAAAAAATGAATTATTTAAATAAAAAACTAAATACGCTATTTTAAACGCATTAAATATAAAATATTTTTTTTTAAATAAAAAATTAAATCATATTAAAATTATAAATATGGTAAAAATAGAATTTTAAATAATTTTTATATAACTAAATTACTTTTATATTCTTATTTATTTATTTTTAGAATTAATTATTTAAAGTATTATTCAATTAAATGACTGACCGAAAATTATTCTCGTATTCTTATAAATAAGTATCATTCTCGTTTGATCCGCTTTCACATTACGTAATATGAATTTGTGATAAAGAAGTAGAGTAAACCTGCGGTTTTTTAAAATTGCAAGAGTTGCGGTTTCCGTCCTTATAGTTTGTAGTTCATTGTTATTTTCATATTTGAGGCTATTTTATCTTTCTTGCATGAGAGACTGAGGGGTTGTTCTTTTATCTTTTAATAATTCCATTAAAAAGCAACATCTGAATCATTAAGAGGTGAATCTAGTTTGGCAAAAAAAAAAGTATGTCTCTTAATAGTTCTAAAACCCTCTGAATGATTTTGTATCATGAGTCTCCCTTAACCATTAAGTGTCCTGATGAACAATTACCAAACAATTATGTTTCATTTTGCACTATATCATGAAAGCCTCTCATTCTGCACCAAACCATTCAACAACTGCCAAACAACCCATGAGATAACAATGAATTATAAACTACATCGACAACAAAAACAATAAAGTTTATATGATAAGGACAAAAACTAAGGATGGTGATTTGCTCCGACCCGGTGGGGGAACCCGGCTCACCCGACACGAACGAGGATGGGGACTCCCCGCTAAAACGGGTCTCAGGGCCGGGGATCCCCAATAGACTCAAACCAGGGTGAGGGTGGTGGATGTTACTTAAGCGGGGTCGGGTATCCCTGGTAGACTCAAACTAACGGATATTCTTCATGGGGTTTAACCGGGGATGAGATGTTAATACCCGTACCAGGGCCGGAGCCGAGGCCGGGTATTGCAAAACCCGTCTAATCTCCACCCCGTTGCCATGACTCACGAAAACAACAATAAATTGTAAATAATGAGGATGGAAATCATAAAGACTAAAAAACAATCACGTACATATGATTTTGACGGAAATTATAATTTTTAAAATATACGGAAAAACATTTTTTAAAAATTAATTAATTATGATTTTAACGAAAATTGTAATTTTTAAAATAAAAAATAAATTCTTTAAATAAAAAAACTAAATACGATATTTTAAATGCTATATATAATTCAATCATCGTCATCCATCATCCAACTTTCCTTCTACCAAGTAACCTTCTTCTCCATGAACTCCAACATTACCATATATACATATGTAATATACATATACATACATACATACATATATATATATATATATACATATATACACACACATGTATTTGCACATATGAAAGCTTTAATCGTTTAAACACATAACCCTCGAACACCAACAATTTGATCATCAATCACCTACAACCATGCTTCAGCCATCGGAAGCATACATCATGTTCTTCATGATCATATTTACCTCCTTAGCAGCTTGCATCAATCGTGTTATGAGATATTACGAAGCTCGTGTAATCATGGAGGATATCGAGTTGGGTAGAAGACCGAGAATAACGACCATGCCACAAACAATCCACGTTCCTCATAGAGTTATACCGCCATTCACACGTATAAACTCTAATCTAGGATACGTTATGGGTCGTAGAAATGCAGTGTTTTATCTTCCTAGAAGTGTGGAGGAGGAAATATTCAAGAGCGGTTGCAAATACGATGGATGTGTGATATGTTTGGAGAGGTTTGTCGAGAAAGAGATCATTCGAGTTGTTCAACCATGTCAACATCTCTTTCATACCCATTGCATTTAGCCGTGGTTGCTTGTATATCAATCTTGCCCTATTTGTCGAGAGATGATCATGTTTTGAGGGGTATTCTTGGTAATTCAGGTCACTGGGCAGCTTGCTAGCATCTCGATTAATGTTACGAAGCCTTAAAGATATATCAGTTCGTAAAATCTTTATGGTTATAAGAATATTCAAATCGATGACTTATGAGAGAGATTTGGTGACTTGGGTTTTGTTCTTTTTTAGGTTTAGAAAGTGGGTTTTAGGGTTTTTGTAGATTTATGAAGTGGGTTTTGTCTTTTTTTTTCAGGTTTAGAAAGTGGGTTTTTAGGGTTTTAGTAGATTTATGAAGTGGGTTTTGTTTCTTTTAAATTTCAGGGAATAATTTTTTTTTTTTTTTTTTGTTAACAACCCGTTATGTGAGCTAATTAATCGTAGAATGATCACCTGCTTTGCGGGTAGTTCGGAATCACCGCATTTGAACCTTCGTGGTCACAAGAGAATTTTATAATATCATTAAATCAAAAAATATTCAGTATTGAGTTCATTTTGAAGGAATTAACAAGACAACCATAATAATATAATTTGGAAAAAGAAATATTTTTTAATATATTTAGTTGATATATAATTACGTATTTTACTACGATAAATGTGTAAAATGAAAAATTAAAAAAATGAGAGATATAAAACAAATTAAATAAATAAATATAACTCTATAAGGTATACACATAAGTTTTAAAAATAGTTCACTACGTATTTGTACTATTTAATAATATGATTAAGTCTAAAAGTATTCAATACTAAATTTAATTTGAAGGTATTGACTAAAAGATTATAATAGTATAATAAAAAAACGTATTTTAGTTTATATACGATTACTTATGTTACCATGATAAGTGAGTAAAATGAAAAATGGAAAAAGGAGGGATATGAAGTAATTATATAGCTGGTTTATTTAGGTATAAAATGTAATTTAAAAGATAAAATGATTTAATTTTTAATATAATTTGAGATAATAGGAGGTTAGTGACAGTTAATCCAGCTTTAAGTTTTGTATATTTAGCATAATAAGTTGTACTTCTTAATTTTCAATAATAATCATTTAACATGCTTTATAATATGGTATAGATAATAATAATTTAATATTACTTAATATGTTAAGCTATTAATCAATAGAGTTGAGTACTGGTGAGAAATATAGAAGAAGATCTCCACCCTTGGATGAATATTAAGATGAGATGTACCAGATTAATTCCCGTATCAAA